ACAGAACGTGTGCACTTTTAGGTGTGCTAATTGCCCATTTTTTGCAACAGGACAGTAGGTTATGGAGACTAAGCAACTTTTCTTTTTCTTCAAGACAACTAACTCATGCAGCATTTACACAAACACTTCAGGTTGGGTTGGGCTAGTGGGTGGGGCTTTAGGGGAACCCTCCTCAAAGGCAAGAGTGTTAGACTGATGTTTATTTGATCAGTGTAATGTAATTGCCTATTAATAAATCATATTGCACATGCAATATTGGGTGTGAACTAATTTCTCCAAAAGCAGACAAATCACATCCATTTCTGAGTTTATGCATGCCAAAATGCTTAGAGCCAATGCTCGTGAAAACAATCAGCGTGACTGTCACCCAAGCTGAAATGCTCATGATATCAACAAACACTTGACACAACAACATCCCCTTGGCATTCACTCTGCTGTGAGTCAGTTCCTGAGATTGATGCATGTAATAAAAGGCTCATGAACGTGTTGCTTCAGGGTTAAGCACGTGGCATGGGCTGCCTCATCTACTCCCAAGTGTAAAGAGTCACTAGGATGGGTTGTCACCCACAGACAGGAAGCAGCCAGTGCAAACTCTGCCCAACAGGTGTACTGATGTAGCTGGGGGGCCACAGGTTACAACAGGCCTGTGACTCTGTCACTTCAAATGCACCCTAAATGAGACTTGTATCTACCCACTCCACATGCTAAAGTAATATTTTCAATTTGTTTTCATCTTTATTTTCTTTTTTTTTCTATAGATACACTTTGTGTGTCCCTATAGAAAAAAACATTTCAATCTGCAATAAAACAAATAAAAAATATATATGATAAAAAAATCAAGTGTGCCTTAACTTAATGCCTTTAATCCTATATACTAACATTTGAATCCTTACTTTGATTAACCATGGCCTCAGAAATAAGGTTCTATATCATGTCAACGAAATTTCTGAAGAGTTAAACTATTCGTAAAAGTAGTAAAGTAAATGTTAAATAAAGCTGTCAAATATGAAACATGTTCTATATCAACTGCAGACAATTTCCCACAATCAGTTAGTAGGGTCATGACCCTTTCTTTGGAAATGACTGTGAGACATAGCTCTTATTGCAATACTAATTATCAGTGTGTAGTTATGTACTCAATAATTAGGTTGATTGAACTCAACACAATAAGATTTCCTTGGCCAGAGCCAAAAATATTCAGAAGGCGCACGTCTCTGCTAATGAAAACACGGTTGCCATATGTGAGTATATTTTTTATTTATTTATTTTAGTATTTATTTTATTTTTGTTTTTAAATGACTTGTGCTGCTTTTACTGCATCGTCAGGAATAGGCAGCAAAGCAACGATAAGAAACAACGCTGCTGCCCAGAGAAAATATGAATACAATACTTTTTGACAGCATGGTACAAAAGATGTCTGTAGCTGTCAGTTGTGTTATCCCAAAAACAAACGCATTCAAAGTACTGCGTTGCTTTTGTTGTGTTTTTAACTACCAGATAAAAATCAGCACGTGTTTAGTGTCAAATAAGACCTGTTGGTCTTGGAAGAACCGTTGTTCACGGTAGTTGACTGTCCCCGAATAGCTAACTCGATAGCCACCTAGCTGGCTAGAAACTTACCAGAAGACAATCCGTATTGATTTCTGACTTTGGGTCCTTTAGCAAGGCATCGATTTTTTCAAATCGAGTCTCCATATTTTCCCCGATAGACATTTTTCTGTCAAACTCAGTCCAGGTGTGGGGCTTTTGGCAAAAATAGCCAAGTGTCGAGGAAGAGTGCTAGCTAGCCCTTAGTAGCCAGCAGCTAGCCGAATGTTCCTTTCTTCGTGTGAACTTTACTCTGCACTTCACAGAAAATACATTGTTCTCGACGAGCTTTCACACACAATGAGGCGACTGAGGTTGCGCTGAATGTACAAAAGCCACATTTTCAAGAGTCGGGAGATGTTTTCCCGGTGTAGTGACAAACAACTTCAGTAGCAAGGCGATCAACGCGGCGGCGGCGTCAGACTCGTCAGCCTCCGCAGGATGCCACTGAGGATAAGAGCTTCAAATGTTTTCTGCATCCACACAAAATGAAATTAAAAGTTGAACTTGTGTCTCTCTGAAACGGCATAGACTGCTCTAAAGTTAGTCCTGAGCGGTCCCCATGTCTGTGGCAGGCCCCTGCAGAAAACCACAGCCGACTCTGACAGCTCAAAAGTAGAAGTGGTGGAGGAAAAACTTCTGCTTCTTCCAAATTTCGATCAGTTTGAACAAGAACTTTAGGTCTTTAAAGTCGAGTCCTTAAAGGCAATCCTTTCGAACAATCGCTTGCACCTTAGCCGGATGTTGATAGTTTCCCTCAGATCCCCAATCTTGGCTGGGATTAAACGCGCAAAATCAGTTTATAACTTTTTTCGGTTGAAAACAACAGACAGAAACCGATTTTCTCCCACAGTCTGGCCAACATGTCTGCCTTCCTGTTCAAACACCCCGGAGGAGCAACTTCAAAATGTCAACAACTGCGCATGCTCCATGCCGAGCAGCGTTCGAAGCCTTGGAGACGTCACTGACCACAAAGCAACACATTTAAACGGAATAACAGCAGCTATTCGATCTAGTGTTTAGCAGGTAAAATTTTAAATTTAATGCCAGTGACTCTAAATATGAAGTACTATAATCTGGATGAGTAAATGCCTCCACGAATAATGTCAAGACCAAACCTGATTTCTATGGTTTTTCGTGCCAAAGGGGCCCAGACTAATGGAGCAGGGACCTCTAGTTTGATTATTTGAAAAATAATATAAGTTTTTTTTGCTCCTACTTATTATGTATGCAATATTATAAAGTAGTATTGTATATATAAAAAGGCCTTTTGCCATTAATAGAAATGTTTATTATACATTTTTAATCCAACAGATGGCGATGTTTCATTTTTTCAGAAACCTGGGGGCTTCTTGTTGTGCCCTACTTATTGGTGATTATAAAATATGTATATTTATTTTATTTAGGTACATTAGAACCTTCGTGTAATATAAATAGTTTAGTATTGGAATAACAAGGAGTGTTTGTACATGCCACTTGGGCCAGTTTAATATGAAACATAATTTTATACACAATATGAAGAAAGAAACGCCTGCTTTATCTCAACTTCACTTTGGGATCCTTGATCTTCGTCAAGGATTGTCAAAGACATCTGTTCTGCGTGAAAAAAAATGTTGGTTAACATTAATTTAACCTTCCCACCCTGTATCATTTCTTATTCTTGTCGTTAGAGGGAGCCCTAACCAAACCCATTCTATAGATCAGCAACATATTTTACTTTCTAAATGGAAATCAATTAGATTTTTGAGAATTTGCAAAGCACAATATACACATTAAAGTAACAGCCTGGGACCTTGTATGTGTTTATGTTAACATTTGTTTTGTTTTCAACTAGAAAATCTTAGAACAATATATTCGTCATGTATTTATTAAATGCTGTATATTGCTTATTACATTTGCAGGAACTTAACACAGTTGAATTAATCCATAATGTGACAATGGCCCATAAATTATACCCCTAATAGAAAGGGCCACATTAAACCTATTTTACAAATGCAAACAAGTATGTCCGACCAAAAACACTTTTCAAAAAGAATTGAAGCACTGTATTTTTTTGCACTGTAACTGCTGTGCTCAAGTTGACTTTGACTACACGTATAACGGTGGGTGAATTGTTATCCATAATATTTAGTACATCAAACTGTATAAACGTTACACTCTATATAACAGACTCTACCTGATAGTAATACATTATAATTCATGAAAAAACATATGTCCATTCTCTGACCTTTGGACTTGTTGAAATACCATGAGTTTTATGTGGCATGAAGCTTCCTGATTCAATTGATTTTTCATGGACCACCACACAATGGCATTAGGAGTCAAATCCAGGGCAATTGTTAAAAATGTATTTGGCTACATTTTTGGCTATCCCATACCCATGTATATTAACAATATATTGTCAACTGTATTATATTTGGTAGCTGTCAGTTGACTGAGGTATTCTTTGGATCCTGTAGGATATTTTTCGATTTTGTTACTTACTCTTTTAGCTATATTTAGTTTCCTATGCATTTTAATTAAGCTTTTATGACAATGCTATTTTTCCTTATGTACTTCTGCTAACCCTTTGCTATTTCCCAATGCTTTGGCTTGATTGTGACTAATTTTACTAAATTGTTGTGCATATATTTTTCTTGAAAGCACCGAAATAGGATATTAAACGTAAATCACGTAATAAATATACCAACATAACCAAAACTGGAGAGACTGTGGGCCCTCGGAGGTGGCCAAGTCAAAAGGTTTATATGCTGCAGTGGTTTTAATACCATTAGGCTGTTTATTTAAAATATTTTGAGGTATTTGTGCTGTGTAGCACATAAACACACGGTGCAATGAAGCCTTGACGTCACACGGCGGCTCCCTCGCTGTTCTCAGATCAGCTGTGGAGCAGCTGAGTTGCAGCAGCAGCCTCAGCAGCCGCAGCAGCTGCAGCTGTGTTCGTTATTATCGGTCTCAGTGCAAACAGACCCGGTCACTCGGCGTGGGCATGGCTCTATAACGTCTCGTACCGTTAAAGGTAAGAAAACTGGTGACTCACGCGTGTATATTTGTTTGTTTTTTGTGTCACGAGTGTGTGTTTATTCACATGTCCTGTTAAAGAACCGTGCACACAACAGTAAGGCTGTGTGTGTGTTTGTACTTCAGCCTGTAGCTCTCTCAGAAGACTGCTTCACTACGAAGTTGTGATTTTTCACCAGTGACGTTAGTAAAAGTAGATTATTTGCAGGGTGTTTTTATTATTATGTGAAATATTTTGGATAATTGCATTTATTAAAAAGAAGTCTGGTAACCCTACATTCTATTTTTTTAAGAACCAGGTTATCCATGTTTTGCAGTGTAATGGTGTTGTTGTCATTCCTGCCTTTCCAAACCTGTGCCAAAAACTGTCTACTATGCTCCATTGCTCCATACTGCATTTTTAATGCAATTCTTGAAAAACTCCCTTCTGCTGATTAATCATTGCTAACAATTTCATGCCACACAGCCTGTATTTGGAGCTGAGCCATGAGTTTGCATATTTCTGTGTTGATTACTGTTAAAATTGCCCAAGGCACGGTGTTGAAACAGACCTGAGCAGTTTAGATAAAGTCATATCAGATAAGCCCTGACCAGTGGATGTCTTTGGTGGTTTGTCATTGTAATTACAGGCAAACCAGTACATCTTGTCCACATCTAATCTTTCCATTCCTCATGTTTGTGGTCTCAAAGGTTACACAAACGCTTGTCCCCTCTTCCTGCTTCCTGGACTCCCAAAAAGTCACACCAGGTAATGACTGTTTCATGGGTATTACAGGATAGTGAAGGAGCATTCTAACAGATGTGGAAAGGGTGTTGTGCTTACGGGTACAAGGGGTCACATAGTGGAAGAGTAGTTTGTGCTCTTGACTTGCAGTGATAAGATCATTGGTCCACGTCCCGGTGGTTGCTTTAGAAACTGCATGCCCCTCCGACAGCCCAAAAACATGCAAAATAGTGTTAATTGGACGCTCTTAATTGACTGTGAGTGTAAATGGTTGTTTGCCTCTATGTGTCTCCGTGTGACAGAACTCTTTCTTGCACCACCCTCGATTGTTGGGATTGACTGCAGCTCAGTCTGTAGTCAGTGTAGTCAATGTGCTGTTGCTGGTTTTAAAAAATGATATGTTAAACTTATTTTCTCTTGATTACGCTAGAAAAGGAGATTCAAACAAACCTGTAATATATATTTACATTTGCATTAGAGAAATCCCATGTCACAGCACCAAACAAGAATGCCCCCAAAAAGTATATGAAATTAAATATAGTGATCTATTCATTTTAATTTACTCCTGATTCAGTCAGTATTGTACCCTGGCTTGTTTAGTTGAACACAAACCTGATACACGCAGGAAGTGAATTAAAACATTCTCCAATAGTTGCGAGTCTCTCGCTCCTTTTTTAGTTTTTATAGCCATCTTTTGCCACCTAGTAAAAGAGTATTTAATTCTTCCACTGGTCAGTGTACTTTGACAAACAACAAATTATTTAAATAAAACATTTTCAACCAGTTAAGTGAAAATGGATCCATGTCACACATGCTGATCTATCGCAGACTGGTGCACTACAGATGTCTTCTTAGCACCCTCTGCAGGAAAGAAGTCTGTGTTTGATTACCAGAAGTGGCACTTCCTGTATATTATGTTGTCATTGTTATTTTTATGTACTGATAAAATTGATTAGGTGTTTCTAGGTCTGTGCTACTGACCATTCTTTTATTACATCACACTGTAGACAGTCAGTTTAAATCAACTGTAGAAAAAGTCTACATGTTGAATTTGCTGGGTGGCCTGTCTCGCCTGTAACACACACACAGCCCTGACCGACAGGCCATGGGCTGGAGGGGTCAGGGGGCTCTGAACACTGACCATCTGGCCCTTGGGGGGCTGGTTTCCTCATTGGCTGTCTTTGTTCCCTGCAAACAATTGGGACTTAATCTGGAAGGAGATAAGTAAGAACTCTGTGACACTACTCTGGTGGTTGGACAGGTTTCTCTCTTTAGCCGTTAAGAAGATGACTGTTTCTCTTGTTGCCTTGTGTTGGCCTTGAGTTTTTGTGCTGGACATTTTGTCAATGTGCTCTCTTTACCTCTGTTTTTTTTTTTACCAAGCCGATGTGACAGATCTGTTCCAGAGTCACTGTAAAAACAAAGGAGTTATCTTTGATGAGTCAAAAGCACACTGGTATTAAACATGTACACATACCACTATTATCTGAATGTATTTACAGCCAAGGGGAAATAAACACACGTGGGTGTAGTTGCTTTGTTCTTGCACTTCTTTTATATTTCCATTATGATTCATTTTTCCTCAGCTGGTTTTAGCAGTTATTTTTATTACAATGAAGCTGTTCAGCTTAGAATTTTTTTTTCTTTTTCTTTTGAAATAAAATTTAGATGACATTTTTTAAGACCAAGCTGTGAGTAGGTGACTATTATACATCCATCTGAACATAAAGCAGTTGTCGCCAAGGTAACAAATTCATTTATTTTCTCTCATTTGTTGCTCACCCTCATCTGGGGCACATCACATTCTCTTTGTTCCTTGGTTATGCTTACGTCTTCAGTCGTGTTTATCCTGTTTTTCTTTTTCCTATGATAAACAATGCCTGACAATTTTAGAGAGCCAGTTCATTGACCTAATTATTTTTCTCTGTTGTGACAAACCAGCGTGTGATAGATTACTCAGTCCTGTATTTGGTTTCATACATAAAGGCATACACAGCTATTGATTACCAATCCAGTCATTTACGGAGAGGTTT